ATTTAGGGTTTCCTATGTTTCAAATTTTGTAGAATCCCTTGCTGTTGGGGGAGCTGGAGCTGGTTTGGGAACTCGACTTGGGGAACACACTAGCTGTTACGGCTCACATCCGTACTCCCTCTGTTTGGAACGGCTATTTTGGACGGGGCACAAAAACTTAGTTCCTCTTGCATACTTTGCGTAAGGGGGCACTGACAACATTAGTTAATTAATACACATAATAATACAAATGAAGGATCTTAACTATTGGGTTCATCCAATGATGAGAGTTTCATGTGGGTGGCAAACCGACCTTGTCACCATCATGGGAACGTGAATGGGAACGGTGCAAAGTATTGCAACATTGTATGGCAACACCACCCAATACATTGAATATTGTATTATTTTGTTGGGGCGTTTTTTTTTTTTTTTGGGAGGGGGGGGTCCACTGTAGGGCCACTATTGCTCTTTCTTCTCAGAGTTGAAAATGGGCTTTTCAAATCACATTCTTTAATGGTGCGATTAGATTGTTGGTTGGCTCTTGGGGGGATAGGCCAAAAATAGGCCCAGGCTCCGGCACAGATCTCAAGGGAAGAAGAATACGAAGAAGCGGAGGCAGAGCAACAGCATGAGAAAGGAAAAAGGGGCTTCCACCCCAGTGTGGGGGAGAGAAGAGGGCGCTGTGTTATAATCACCCTCCGCACTGTAGACAAACTGCCAGACTAATAAATCCCCAAGGCACAATGACGATGCGAACACAGCGTTTGAGAGAGAGAATTGCGATTGTTGGTTGGTTTGTTTTTTCCCCCTTTTATTTGCTTCCACGCATCTCGAGGTACATCTGATACAGTTATCGCATTCTAAATTGTGTTGGATGCATTTCGGCTCAGCTCTGCGGTTGCTTCCCCCTTCCTCCCCGTCCGCTTTTGGTGCTGTTCACGCACCCTTGTGTGACGCTAGGGTTTCTATTTTTCGATGCGAAAAGCGAGGAGGTCGTTGATGCTGTCTCATCGCTTGGAAGCTCTTATTCCCTGGCTCGCGCTCTTACTCTGTGGAATGTGACCTTGGCGAAGGCCATGTTACTGCAGCTGATGCGACTTACCTGTCCCTGTAGTAGTAGTGTTAGCGAAGCTACTACAAAGCCTGGAGAGTAACATTCGCGGAGAGAGATACAGACGGATCCAGTGGAACCAGCCATGTCTCTCCTGTTCCGCTCCCCTACTTCACTATAAAAACCTAAACCATAAAATGTGAATGGTAATCAGTAGCCTAGCCAGTGTGAAAAGGGGGTTGTGCCTAAAATGAGGAACAAGGGGGCTAGGCTGGGCTGGGCAGGGCAGCCGTCCATTTCCCCATCAGGGGAACACTCAATTGAATGGTGGGGCATAGTATTAATTTAACATTAACATTGCCTTTAATTATTATTTTATTAAAATATTCCCCTCTTTTTTTTCTCTCTCTCTCTCTCTCTCTCTCTCACTTAATTAATCATGTGGCCTAGTCTAACTCAACCCAACCCATAATAGTACTGTTATAAAGTTTCAAGGCCCTGCTCCCTTTGCCCATTTTGCCGGTTTTGCCCTTGCCTCTTCTTCAAACTCCAAGCACATATGCTCTATCCACCATTCCCTTCTTAGTATTATTTTTTTTAAATTAAAAATTTCATAGAGTGAATAGGGAGATAAAAGTGCTTTCTTTCAAGAGAAATAATTCGTGCAAAAGAATTATTTTTTCAAGTAATGTTAATGTGTGAGTGTATATACATACATACATGCACACACACACACATATATATATATATATATATATATTTATTGATACAATTCTAAACTTTGAATTTGGTATAATATTTTGCTGAGCAGAATAAGAAGCATGCAACTGAATAAATAATGAAAGATCAAGGAAGTTTACACTTGTTATGACATGGTCAAAAGGCTTCAAAGATTTTTAAATGGAGATGTCTGCAACTTCAACATATTCTATTTTATTAATTAAAATTATTATTGCTAGAGAAAAGGTTGGTTCTGAAGTATTATTTACTCATTTCGTGCTTAAGAAAATTAGGGGATTTTTGTGGATTTGATCTTTCATTTCCTAATTTAAATTCATTATATTTATAATAAAAACATCAGTTCTGTAGAACATATTCTGAGCAAATCAAATGCTCATGCTTCTCTGATTCCTGGTGTCCATTGCAAAACATATTGAACACTATTTTAATTGTCATCAACACTATAATAAGATACCACTAGAAAAATGGATGTAGCACCATAGCTTGGATAAACAGAAAGTGCTTATTTTCAAAACAACAGAAAAGTTCAATTGCAACCGTAAGTCTTACGATGAGAAAAATACAAACATGAACCAACTACTTGTAGAATAAACATCGTCGTTCTGGTATAAAAGCTACATATCTTGATATTTTGAAATTTTGTCACTTGTGCAATTACAATGTTCATGAATGATTCAAGTATTTACAATGTATAATTCCTTTCAGCAAAAGTGAATAATCTAGTAAGCAGTTGGATATCCAATCTATGTAACCTCAAATTATTTTTGACAAATACAAAATAAAATTTAGTTTGCATCAAATACAATAAGCCTTATGGAAATTTTTGGACAGTAAATTATTGTTAATGAAAGTTAAATTAAATTAAGTAATTTTAAATTTAAATTATGTCATGCAAAAAAAATATATATATATATATATATATATATTTATATTACATACATATTGAATAACAAAGGAGGGAATCAAGAAGAAGAAGAAGGTATATTGTAAAAGTTTCACTCTTAGAACAAAATTTGATCAAACATATACACAAAGTTTACATAATGGTCAAATATATTTGCAAATGTGGCTTCTACTTTTAAATTCAAGTTTGTGTGTACACACACACACACACACACATAAACATATTTTGTAGATTTCATCATTAGAAGATATGAAAAAGGATCCACAAGTTTGAGGTGCAATTGAAACCAAACACGAGGAACACAATATTGAGCTACAACAAAATTTGCACGAATGATACAGATATTGATAAGTAAACCCACAAAGTCAATGGTACTACTTCACTGTTGAATGTATTGACTTAATTTAAATGCTTCTTAAAGTAGTGAATTAAAAACCATTACTCAGTAGAAATGGGTAATCTTTTTCTTTGCAGAAGTTAGGATACCATTGCAATGATATTATAAGAATCTAACTGAAAATGTAAAAACTCAACACCTTCAAAGCAAGTTACAAATTTATGGTATATTTAGTATTTTAACTGTTTGCAGTCAAATATGTGATGCTATCAATTAGACAGTGCTTATGGCCCAGATGAATCACACGTACAAGAAACTTGAGCGACAATGAACTTGATCCTAGAAGCTTCCAAAACCCCCTATGCAACATATAACTACCAAGAGCAAGGGTGGAAAAAAGCTGCAAAAGTAACAATTATTTGTAGTACTGAAAAATCAAATCCTGTGATGTGCTTTCATATTCTAATTGCTCTTTTAAACTACACTACATTGTTATGTAACCTAGGCAAAGTGTCAAGCATTTTATAATGCACCATTGAACATGGGAATATAAAGTTTAGCCGTAGTATTTGCATCAAAGTTTGTTTATTTTTTTATTATTATAAAAGTCAACATACTCATTAAAGCTAACCTATTCATAGCCTCGTAATTTTGTTGTTACGGCTATTCTTTGTTTGTTTTCTAAATTCTGTGTATATCTATCTATCTATACCAAGATAGAGAGAGAGAGAGAGAGAGAGAGAGAGCCCATTTACAGTTCCATTGCCAAGTACAGATTTAATGAACTCATCAACCAGTCATTGCAAAAGTCAACTATCTGAGTATTAAATCTCACTGCAACCCCTTATTTATATTATAACCCACAGTAAGTCAGTAAATCTTGTGCCCAGTTGCTGAACCATCTTCTTCTTCTTATTCGTATCCGCGGTAAATCTAGCAAGCGAAGAATCTGATGAAGAAGCAGCAAACCGAGATTACAGTGGGATTGATAGATTGATAGATTGATTGATTGGGTGATTGAGCGGCATCATCCAATCCAAATTGGATGGTAAGTAATCGTAGCCACAACATTGAGCATGTGGGATACAGTAGGGTCTGCAAAGATGGGTGCCGAGGATGATAGGATTACGTTTCCTTGCGAAACAAAACAAAAAACACAACACAAACAAACAAACCAACAGTGGCTGCGACGATTACGACGAATTCTCTGACTGGGAGGGTGCGAAAGAAGGGCTCCGTCGCTCTAAATCGGCTCCAGTGGTGAGGGATTGAGGACAAAACCCGACGGAGAAGGAGGCGAAGACAAAGAAGAAGAAGAAGAAGAAGAAGGAGAAGAAAAACCTGGCTTGTCGTTGTCGTTGGCAGAGGCGGTTACTAAACCAACATTAGCTGCACATTCCATTAGCGCGATCTGTACATTCCGTGGCACTAAACCAACGCATACGGTGCGAGGCTACAGCATGAGCAGGCACCCATCCGGGAACGCGGCAGGAGTGGTTCGGAAGGGGGAGGGGGGTTTAGATTTTTGCTGGGTGCCGCGACACTGTAGCAAGATTAATGGGGGAGAGAGGTGGGTTGGGGGGATGATCATTCCGTAGGAGAGAGTGCGAGGCACTGTAGAGCTATGAGGCTGCTGCTGCAGGAGAGAGAAGCGAAGAGAGGGACACGGTCACAGGAAATGGGGTCACGGTGATATGGTTTCAGGGAGCTGGAAATAAGGCAGATGGCGAGGCGGATCATAGATCATCGTAATCTGGTGGCACTAAAATAGTGTATAATGATTCTCCCGCAAGTGCTACCAGCAGCCTATCATCACTTCGCAGGGGAATCTCTCTCGAGCAGTTGCCTTGTGCTCTGCCTTTTTTTTTTTTTTTTTTTTTGACACAAATAGAAAAAATCTATTGCAGAGAAAGTATGATACGTGCTCTGCCTGGGGGGATGGGGAGGTTCGGTTGTGCGCCTTTATGATTCTCTCCGCACCTCGGTCTCGGCGATCAGTGGTGCCTGCTGCCGGTGCTCCCTCAAAGGCTCCATGTTTCAGTGTTTCTAGTTTACTTGCTGCTGTTTGGCGAGTTGTCCGAGGGAACAAGCCGAGTCTGCACTGTCGTGCTATGCATGATGGTGTAGCCGCCTACAGACCAACAGGGGTTCTTTTTTCCCCCTCCAAGGTAGCAACAACTCCAGCACAAAAACCAGCCTAACAGCTCAGGTTGGCGGGGACATTCATATGCCTCTCATCGCATTCAAGCCTTGACAAACCGTTAGATTGTCGATCTGCGTGAGGATCTTCGATCATCGTCGCCCGGTTTCTAGCGGGGTGTCTCTCTGCATTCCCCCTTCCACCCAGTCTTCGTCGTCTCCACACTCTTACTTTAGCTATTACCGTGTTCTGCTGCAAAATTCATACTGTCCGTCCAGCCGAAACGTACATTCTCTTTTTAGCACTCCCCTTGGTGTCAGACCTTTTCTATTCATTGGGTTTCTGTTGATGTCGTCGTCGTCGTTGTTGCAAAGCACTGGCACCTGTCTCGAAGGCGGGAGGGTCCGCGGATTGTGTTGGAGTGTATTGGGGTCCCACTTACGGTACTCTGTTCATTCCGAAGCCCCTCTTCTGTTGTCCTGCCTAAGCTCGCTGTAAGCTTCGCTTATGGCATTTTGAAGCCTGTATGGTACCACCTAGTTCCTCTCTCCGGGGGCTTTGGGTTTGGTAAGCGCATCAAAAGCTAGTTGCTTCTTTCTGACGCAGCAAAGTGCTTTGATACTGATCGTGTTTGCAGCGCTAGACATCGCTGCTTACGTTAATGTGGCAGTCTTCGTAGAGTTATACCACTCGTCGTGTTACTGGAGAGCAGTCCAGACGGTTCACACCTAGCGATCCCTCCGAACCACGTTGCGGCTTTGTGCAATGTTTACAGGAAATTGGGTGAACAATAGAAGACTAAGGGATAGGCTGGTAAAAAGGCTTCAAGCTAGGTTACTACTTCAATGCGTCTTGTTGGCATCTACTTCGATTTATTACCACAGCATTGACAACCATCGCATGCATTTGTTCGTTTTTCATGGCTGAACTGGATTTCATAGCTCTTTCAATGCACTGATTAGGAAACCGAAGTGGAGATTACAGACCGGCGTGTTTCAGTGTTGGATTTTTAGAGCATCAATTGAAACCCCTGCCGCTTCCACATCACCTGCTGAAAGGCAGCAGCTCAAGTAGTGATTTGGGAGCAAAATCATGTTCTCTTGCGACAAATTTATCTTCGGGCTCTTGAGGGAGGCGTCCTCTGGCTAGCGAGTTTATCCTGGAGCACTTAAACAAGATGGTCTGGTTGAGGGGTCTAGTCTAATCTAGAAATCGAAATGAACTCGGACGTAGTTTTCTAGTGACGGAATTCGTTAGAAATCGGGTATGCTCTCTCTCTTCAATCAGACTTCTCATCAGAAACCATGGAAATCGAAGAGATGGGGAGCTGGGCTGCTGACACCACGAAGATCATGGGCCATCACTTTACATTGGAAGCCGAACGGATGCGATCTTTCAACAAGAGCCAGAATTCGGAAACTCCGTACAACGCTTCGGTGCAGCTTGACAAGGATTACTCTGCGAGTCGTCAGTCCGGTTTTTCCCAGGTACGAAGCTTTTCGGCTTTGGAGACTCTGACTACAGGCGGCGAGAGAACCTCAAATTCCGGTTCCAACACCGGCACTCCAGTTTGCGAGGCCATCCCCTTCGAACTGCTGAGCATGTCTCCTGATAAGCGTCCCTGGCGCACATACTCTGTGGAGAGCTGCAGTGGTTTCGCGCCCGAGCTCAAACTTTCCAGCGAAGATGACACGGAACACGGCAGCTTAGACGACAAGAAGGAGTCGAATGAGGACATGGTCATTTCTGGAGGCAAAGATGGCGACAGTGTACAGTCGAAGCTGTGCTCCCGCGGGCACTGGCGGCCAGTGGAAGACCAGAAGCTGCGAGAGCTAGTGTCCCTCCATGGGCCTCAAAACTGGAACCTGATTGCAGAGAAACTTCAGGGTCGATCAGGTATTTAAGCCCTCTGCATCTTTCTGCACCGGTCCGATGCGATTTGTGATCACTTTGTGGCCTCGTAATCTTCAGCGACATAGTATTGAACCACTAGCAATGAAATTGAACTGAACCGATTCCGAGTCACAAATGCTTTGAAATTAGTTCTGTGCCTGGGTAAATTGCTGAGGATATCGAACTAAAAAGTTGCTGAGACAGTTATTGGCCAATGTCTATTAGAGTCAGATCTAGAGTTTGATACAAAAACATAAGAATTCCAACCGTGTCAAGATTGGAAAACAAAACCGTAGCCGTTGTGCAGTCTTGATTACAACTTGGAGAATGTTGTGGCTTTGAAAGGAGTGGTACATTATAGTCGAATTCGAAATGCGGGTCTTGAAGTGCACACGCGGAATGTAGGAAACTAGCCGCGATTGATCTCCAATACTTATGTACTTAAAAACTTCCATCGCATCACCAGGATGGCCAGATACCAATTCTAACAGCTCCACTTGTTTTTAATCTCTAAACAAACAACTGACCCTCTGGTAGTACTTGCGCAGGGAAAAGCTGCAGACTACGGTGGTTCAATCAGCTTGACCCTCGCATCAACCGGCGCCCGTTCACGGAGGAAGAGGAAGAACGTCTGCTTGCAGCGAATCAACTCCAGGGCAATAAGTGGGCCTTGATCGCGCGACTCTTCCCGGGCCGCACGGATAACGCCGTGAAGAACCATTGGCACGTTCTAACAGCCAGAAAGATGAGAGAACGGTCGCGAATTAGTGGCCGCCGCAAATCGGAGGTGCACCGCAAAAACAAAGGTAACTGCACTTACACCTCCGCACAAGGAAACCATTACCACGGCTCCACAGATCCTCTCACATTATGGATAGAGCCCAAGTATACAGCGACGGCGGAGTCGGCGGAAGCACCCCCTCGGTCTTCTCTCAGCGGCAGCGGCTCGCCTCTATCCCTTCCCACCGCGTTTGCTAAACAGCAGAGCTCCGGTGGCACCTTGCATTCAGTCGCAAACATGGGTACTAGCTGTCTAAGCGATGTAACCAGCTTGTCGCCGAAATACAGAAACCTTGGAAGCGCGACTATGGTAGCCCTGCCTTTGCTGCCGAATCCAGTAGGAAGTGTCATATCAGGTGCACGCCTTTCCTGGATGGTGACACAGAACCTCATTTTTCCAATTGTGCGAGCTAGTATTTTCGATGATTGTCATGGGAGTTCCATCGCTCTAATATGGGTTTGTCTCATCATTGTGCAGATCATAGGCCAGTTCATTTGCCAGAGGTAACTAACTCTGCGATGAATCAAGCGCTACTTAGTAATTCCACGGATGGCCAGATTAGCTCCGGGTTCCTGATGAGGGCTTTAGATCCACTTGCAGAAAACTTAGCCACCCTCCCAACACATCAACAAACAACAGATAATCATTGCGTGCGTTTGGAAACGAATGTGCCGGGGAGTCTCAATGCGGGCGCTCGTGCACATCGTCGCAGTCAATCCCTTGTCTCGTTTGGCCACAATGACAAGGTCGGGGAGTATGAGAGTTATCCAGGCGCCAGCCTTTGCCACTCTGACGTTCTGCACAGACAGCTTTCTAGCAGCCAGCTTAACTGCAGCGCAGCTTATAACACTGGGAGATATCAATCTGAGAATTACTCCGGTCGAAACAAGCCACCGTTCTTGCAAGGGAATAGAAACAAAGATGTCGGGAGCTTGTCCACCCAAGTCCACCAGCGGCAAGAGAAGCCACACAATGACACCGAATCAGCTCTTAAGATGGGACCTTGTTGGGCTGCGGCTGATAATACTTATGACTTGGGTGTTGTAGGAATGGCAATATCACAGCCAGAGCAGTCTGTGCCGGTTGCCTTCTTTGATTTCCTCGGCGTGGGAGCGGCCTGAGTGCGGCAGAAAATTTTGAGCAGACTAGTATTATTTTTGGTTTTCTTGTTTTTTGTTTTGTTTTGTTTTGTTTGTTTTTTGTAAAGAGGTGTTTTTAGATTGTACACAATCAGGTATTCTTTTGTTTTTTTTTTTCGTTTTCTTCCTTGCCATCACGGTAGCTCATTAGAATCAAGTTATATATCATTTGGCGGCCTACAGCAGGCACTTCCGAAGACACCCCAAGGATGGGTTTCCACCAAAGCGTAGAGTGGATGTAGTGCTTTTCAATCAGCAATCCGAAATGGAAGGAGTGCTGTTGCTGACTTGGAAGGTGTCAGCAGTTCCATTGAAGACACCAATCCTTCGCAGCGGACTGTGTAGTCTCCATTTTCTTGTTAGCAAATTTGAAAATTTCACTCAATAGCTTCAACCCCTTCCATCCTCCTGCTTCTATGATAGTTTCCCTTGCTACGGCTTACGGGACGACTCCTTTTCGTTTAAATAATTTCATTAAATTTTTTACCGCACAACCTTTTGATTCTGTCTTCAAATATATAACAAGGTTTATGGCCCCTTTCAGGTTGTGCACCGTCACTGAACTCTCCAGCTTGTTGCTGAGGTTCCAGCGTGGGCAATCTTATCTCCTTTAGACTTCTATTGTACAGATAGGTGTTCTCTTGTAAATTCGATGCCACCTTGTGCCTTTGAGAAATTTGAGAAATCAGATCTGAACCTTCGTGAGAGAGAGAGAGAGAGAGTGAGAAAGAGAGGAGAGAGAGAGAGAGAGAGAGAGAGCGAGAGAGAGAAAGAGAAGGAGAGAGAGAAAGAGGAGAGAGAGGGTGAACCTTGATTATTAATGCAGCATGCGCCGAAGTTGGCAATACTTAAAGAGAGAATGATAAAGCTAGCAGTAGCTTGCTGGCCTAATCAGAGTTGTCCGATCCTGTCTCTGAGTTCGTTGATGAAATAAAATGACTCTGTTCCTTGAAATTTGCGATCATCTAAGTGGGAATGATTCATTTTTCTCTTGAAAGGGGGTTTTCAAAAGGTCGCAGGTATATCAGCTCGCTCGTCGTTAATGCAGTGCCGGAGATCGTTTTTACGTTCTCATAACTAATTCTGCAATAGCAGTCATTGAGATCAGTTGAAAATTAATTTCCTGCTCGTGCAAATATGCTGTAGGTAAAGATTGTGTCCAGGATCACATTCTGATTGGAGCGTGACGAGGAGAATTCGTGGAGTAGTTGACCTTGAGTGTGCACGAGTGTGCCCAGCTCAAGTAGACACCTCTGGATCACAGGTGAAAGGTAGGGTCGTCAAGCGCCGTGCAGGTGATCGAGATCCCTGCATGAGTGCAACGTCGGCACACAACCCCACTACCCACCCACCTCGAACGAAGCTGTGTTCCTCTACGAATCACAACGTTCCACTGCATTGGTTGGACCATAAACACTAGTCTACAACATCAAGTTACCGTAGTAGCCACGCACCAGGTTGAGAAAGAGGTATGGAATGTCCCTCCAGAGTCACCTACTTTGTGTGCAAGTAACTAGCATGGCTATGTAATACACGGCCTCATCATAAGACTGCACGAACAAGAGCACTCCAGTATACAACTGCATTTTTTAAAAAAGCAATACACAAAAAGACATTCATGCCATGATGTACTGCTACAGTCCACATTATCTGCTCCTTCAAACAAGCCTGTTCGATGGAAAACGATCTGAGACGTGACAGTGCACAAAGTCCTTGGAGGTCCCGATTCCATATTCGTATCAAAGGGGTTTATCTGTTGGCCCATTAAGTCACGCATGCATGTTCTTCCGGGGAATGTTGATTCCCTTTCAGAGAAATCTCAACTTGACAATATGGTGTCCAGGGTAAGTGCGGACGGCAACAAGCCCCGGCCATAAAGCGGTCATCATTGAATCATCAATCGTTAGCTCCAAGCCTTAGTCGTTTGCGAGTCATCAGCAACAGAGTTATTTAAGACGAGTCGTCATTAAATTACATCAGCCTGCAGGGGGAGTACGAGATCACCCATATTGTACTGAATGTCCATCCTCGTATTATAATTTTACTGCCAGTTCGCACGTCATGTCGGTTAAAGCATTCCCTGTTCAAGTCTCTTCAGTACCAGCAACATTCAGAGAGTTAATAATTTACCCGCACTTTTTTTTAAATATATATATATATATATATATATATATATAGATTTTGTGCCACCCACCTTGCCTATGTCCTCATCTCCACACCAGTTTCGACAATCAACACCAGAGAAAACACCGTTGAGTGTCACTGGTGGAATTATTCGTTACTGACGCTTTAGTAATTGGAGAAAAACCGATCTCATCGTACTGCAGAAAGCGTGGCTGTTTTAATCCGAAATCGTGCAATGGTCTTGCTACAACATGTACCTCAGATGTAAAAATCTTGTTGAGAATTTTTCGGTCAACCCTTTTTGCAGTTTGACAGGAAGAAGCCAGCGTCTATCTGAGCTGCAGATGCTCAGACACTAGTACTTCCAGGTTGCATTCAGGGGAGTCAGGGATTGTAGGTAGACTTCAGTATTTCAGAGGGGAAAAAAGCATAATCCTTCGAATTTGTATTATATTATCCCGTTTTTCCCGCCCACATGTGCAGCTTGTATTGCGGTGATAAAGGTGGGAGCTTGCCTTACACAGCATAGATACTAGTAGGACCCCAGCTTCATACTGGATCTCCTCATCGGTGTACTTCAGAGTAACGAATGTGGGTGCACCCCAGTTTCTGTTCGCACTTATGCTCTTCCCACGTATGTCTCGTGTGGGACAATTTCGAATTGGCTCTCACAATGTAGAATCGCCATTTTGTTTTTCATTCCTAAGCTGTAGCGGTATTAACGAAAGAAAAGAATAGAAAAGAAAAGGAATCCGCTGCTGGATATTTGGACAGAAAATAGCAAGTTTAAAATTAGAATACTAAGCAAAACAACATTCATAACTTTAAGAATTTGCTATCCAGATCTAGATAATTACTAGATTTATAATCCATTGGGTTACAAATCGGATGAATTGATACCGACTGTAGCAGAATTTTTTACTGTTCAGAAAAAGTGGGAGAAGAGAATAAACTTTAGTGGACTTAGTACACAAAACAGTTTGGCTTCGGTCTCACACTCAATGAATAACAGCTGTAGTCTACTTTCACGCAAGACCAAGTAAAGTGTTTTAGGGTTCACAATAACATTCCCGGAATTTCCTAAATTGCCCATATCTTAATTGTCGGTATTGTTCGAAACCTAAGAATCTTTGCTTCTGTTTTCGTTTGCTTATTTCCGATATGTATATTTATTTTTCATTTCCCGTTAGCTTTTTGACAACCTGATGACTAGGTTCACAATTGGAACCGTTCGAACTAAATATGCATGTTGAAATGGGCCTGGGGGACAAGATATGGACTTATCTCGAAGACAATCTCCTGTGCTCCTCCGTGCACTAGCTTGCCTGTTTCACAGCTTGGAATGGTGAAACTACAAACTTGAGAGCATCGTTCCAGTTTAACAGGCGCTGGAGGTAACGGAATAGTTGTGGGTGAGGAAGAGCTGTTTCAGCTTGTTAGATCGTTGCCTTACAGAGGATCTGTTACTTCGTACTGTGCCTTTCTAGTTGCAAGCTTGCTACAGTAGCTGGGCTAGAGCTTGAATCACTGAACCCTGGAAGTAACAGCCGCGGTGCCAGTGCAACAAAATTTTCCTCCACTGCCAAGTCGGAGCACATTCATTTATTTATTTGTTTAATTGAAAGACATGAGGTTTGCAAAGTTAAATGAGCAATATTGAATGTCCTGAGCTTGGGTTCGGGTTTTAAGGATTCTGGGTGAGCGAGATCAGGTAAGTCAATATCTAGAATCTCTACTTTATTTATATTCGGGTTTTTTTAAAAACTCAAATTTCTTTTAGACAATTTTTTTTAAAGGTGTTTGGTTTTATTATTTACTCTTAATTAATGTATATATTCTACTAAATTAAATAAAGTTAAACTAAATAATTAAAGATAATAAAATTAAAATATGTTTTATTATATGTATATCAAATATGATTTTGAAAATTGCATTAATTTTACTTATATAAATACCTATTTAATAAATTAATATTTTTGTAACTCTTAATGATATTAAACATTTTCCATTTGACAATTTCAATTTACACACATATTTGAATCTCATATCAAAGAAAGTATATAAGCTCAAGTATTTAGATTTATTATTATTATTATTTTTACACTAGCTTAAATTTTTATACTCTAATATATACAACTAATATGTACAAGGATTTCTTAATAGTGTATAGTTATCATGTTTTTTTTGTTTTGTTTTGTTTTTGTTTTTTTGTTTGTTTGTTTGTTTTGTTTTGTTTTGTTTTTTTTTTTACCAATTGGCATAATTAAATAAATACAAATCAGAAGTCTAGACACAGAACATGGTTCTCAAATTTTGTCACTTAAATTGCATCCTATTTATCATACACTAACAAAACTTTCATTCACAATCTCTCAATTCATATTCCTTTTATTTCATATTTGAATTTGCATGAAGGGAATACTAAAAACATATAACTCAATGTGCAAACATACATCACTCAACACAATTGATGGATAATCCGATTAACCCTAAACCCCAACATTAAACCTTTATTGCAGCAATACACAGTATACTAACAAGCAACGACTTCAACCTTAAAATCTCGCTGTCACGTCTTCCATTTCCATTGTCACAGCTCCAAATACAAGTAAATCCCACATGTATATAGATAGATAGATAGATAGATAGATATGTTTATTTGTACACACACGAAGATTGCAGCATAAATCCCATGCAAATATTGAAACCAAGCATAAAAAAGTTGTGTACAAAAGTTGGGGTGGACCAGTTCAGATGCTTCCATGGGATGCTATTCTCATGCACAAACCCACACACACACACATAAGACAGACAGACAAGGAAAGTCTGGTTCATGGAAATATTCACAGTCTACGATTCCTGACGCAGTTGTAAAGCAAAGGAGACATGCAGCAATGACCTCATCACGCAGCGGGCTCTTGAATCCAGGCAGATCCAATGTGAAGATAACACCGGAGCGCATCAGATGCCGGCGCACACTCTGGTGCGGCAGGGAAACTCGGCAACAGTCGCACGGACTTTTCGCATCATATTTGCTTCGAGAACATAATTTGTTCTCCAGCAGAATATATCACAGTGCCTCAGGGCGACAGTGGCTACCTCCATTTTACAGGTCATTTTGCTAGATTCGACGTGATTTTAGATAAGACGGAGACTGGTGACAATCGCGCGATGATCCCCGGGGATTGTTTGAGGAATCAAGCAAGTTTTCGAGGATAACGACAATGAGGAGAGTCTGCGGATGTCACTGTTCGCAGGGGGGGGGGGGATCATGGCACGTGGACTCTGCGCCGGGGGTTTGCGAGCCTCTGGGGTCCTCCAGGATCGACCCAGATTCAAGGCTTTTGAAGAATTCTTGCGGAAGCGTAGTGAAACGGAAGAGCCACTTTCACAGCTTTCACGGTAGCAACAGCTCGCGACATACCGGACATCTCCAAGCCAGTGAAGCTATCTTACCCCCAGCTCCATTTTTTTTTTTTTTCTTTTTTTTTGTCTTTCTGTAAAACAATGTCGCCGTGGTCCGGAGTGCAGCGCTGCCCACGGTTGTCCATGCAGCGCATAGGACCCAGTCCACAAATCCTCCCTATCTCCGTCTCTTTCTCCCCCATCGTGTGCCCTTGCCGGAGCCGTATCCGCAGCCAGATTGTAACCGTTAAATCGGGGCCAGAAGGAGGAGCACCCTTGTACCCCTGTACCCCTCCAGCTGTGCAGTGCCGCTCTCCTCTGGACGCAGCATCGGAGGAGAGGTCGAGTGAAAACGGCACATTCCTCTTCACTCCATCCATGTGACCCACTTCGTACTGATCCAGCCCAGGAATCCGACAGGTGAA